ACTTCACTGAGACTCTCTTCTGAGACTAAACAACCCAGGTTTCTGGCTCCATCTTATGGCCATTTGCAGAACCACACCCAATTGCAGTTTTTGCATGCTCTTAAAGATACAGTATTAAAATGTCTATCCTGGTTTATATATTTCCAACCCAAGTAGCTGTTACATGACTTACATTCCTAACAGTTACCGATTAGCTACCGGTTTGATCGAACTGGGGACAACTGATAGCAGCTCACCCCTGAGGCTAGTCTACATTGTACCCCAATATTGTGATCTTTTGATATTATATCAAGAACACTTCTTGGTGTATAGAATAAAGTACAATTATTCTGTATACCAAGCAGTGCTCTTGATTTAATATCAAAAGATATTATAATTGTACTTAGGGTTATCTTCAATTGGCAAATTGATCATACATTTCTGCTGCATTCAGATGATTTGAACTACAATTCCTATAACTTCTAAACATTGGCCATATTGTTTGAGGGCTTATGAGTTTGTAGCTTAAAAATCTCTCTATTCCTGTTCTAGACAATCAAAATGTTATAGGAATATTTGTCAATGTCAATAGATTCTTGTTTTAGAAATGCCTTGCTAGAAACAATATTGTTGGTGATGATGACTTTTAAATATACCAGAAACCTATATAGGAGCTGATAGGGTGCTAGACAATAAAAGATAAGAAAATTATAGAGTAACAAAACGAGCATGTAGAAACCACAAATTTTAAACAATATATTCTGTAGGAGGCAGCCAGTGTAATACTAGTTTTTGAAAATCTGGGATGTGATGTCAGTGCTGGTGAAAACTATTAGAAAGACAAAAGAGTGTATAAAGCAATATTGTGGGGAAAAGTCATCTTTGTTAATGTGAGAACAAAATTCTGTTTTCTCACCTATTGCTAATGAAAGTGTGATTGCAAATGCTAGCATCAGTCCACCTGTGCTATATAGTAAATCACTCGTCATTTTACAATGTTGCACTCTAGTGTAACTCGTTATTTTATTTGTATGTATGGCATTAATTTGCATGTGGCTACCTCTTCTGATCAGGGGCAAAAATGTGCAATATTCAGTGACCAGGAAAAATTAAAACTCACTTGTGGCTTCAGACTTTATCTCTCATAATTTAGCTGCTTCCACTAAACTCTGCTCATTATCCTGAAGGAGCAGTGGCAGGAAGGGGAGGACAAGCTGTTCCACAGAGGGGAAGTGACAACCCAGAAGACCTATTCCCTGGCATCCTCTATCTTGATTTATCACAGGAAGAGAATCTTGGCTTAAGTAGAGCGAATATAAAGTTATTACCTGAGTCAAACAGTCTCAGAGCTAATAAGGACCCGAATCATAAAGGGCTACATAGGTTATAACCAGGACCTTGGCCTGGATCTGGAAGGATATTGGAAACTGGTATAAGGCTATTACAAAAATGGTGTGGTTCTACTGTACTTTCCAGGCAGTGGCATTCTGAACCAATTGAAGCTACCAAATTGCCTTTCAAGGACAGAACCATGTAAAGTGAAGTACGCATTCCAAATACAAGGTGACAAGGACATGAGTTATTGTTGCCGGTAACTCCTGATGCAAAAAGGGCCACAGCTGGCCCTCAGATTTAGCTGGGCAAATGCCATCTTGGCCACATTTTCCATCTGCAGTACTAGCAGGACCTGCAAGACTGAAATAGCCCTCAGACTGCAGACTGTTCTTTCAGGGCCAGTGCAATCCCACCCAGTTGGAGGGATTCTAGAACCTGAAGATTTCTGAACAATCAGTTGTTTCATCTGGTTTATTTTCATATTGTTTTATCTTATTATTCAGTGTCTGAAAATAAGAGAGAGAGGGAGGGAGGGAGGAGAGAATAGGCTACACCACCGCTAACCCCCCCCCCCAAAAAAAAATTCTACCCTGTTGGCTTCATCCTGCCTACTGAAGTTTGTCTAAAATGACAGGAACTTTCCCTTCCCTGCTCTTGTGTGGATTATAGGTAGTCCTCGACTTACAACAGTTCATGTAGTGACTGTTCAAAGTTACAACAGCACTGGAAAAAGTGACTTGTGACCATTTCCCCCATTTATGACTGTTGCCACATCTCCATGGTTACGTGATCAAAATTCAAACATTTGGCAACTGACTCATATTTATATGGTCCTGGAGTCACATGATCATCTTTGGAAACCTTCTGACAAGCAAAGTCAATAGGGAAGCCAGATTCACTTAACAACCATCTTACTTAACCACTGCAGTGATTCGTGTAACAAATGTGGCAAGAAAAGTTGTAAAATGGGGCAAAACTCACTGAACAAATATTTCCTTAGCATCATAAATGGTCGTAAGTTGAGGACTACCTGTATTATCTCTGTCTGTCTGACTATCTATTTTATCTTTCTTCTTATCTTCATCTCTATCCCCTTTTATTGGTGGTATTATTATTGTTGTTGTTGTGTTGCTTTGTATGTACAGTGAGAGCTTCTGCACCAGAGACAAATTCCTTGTGTTTCTAATCATACTTGGCTAACAAAGTATTCTATTCTATTCTACTCTGCTCTGCTTTGCTCCATTCCATTCCAGCCTATTCTATTCATCTAAAGATGCCATATAAATCTAAATGTATTTTTGGGATTGGTTTGAAATGGAATTCTCTGAAATGATTAATTATTAAAGTATTTTTTGTCTTTTTAAAATAGTATTTTATGGGTCTTGACTTTGTTACCTTTTATCTTACCTGATCATCTTTCTACTACTCTGCTATTTAATTTTGAAGTTGGAACATTTTTAGTATTGTGTTTATATAAAACATTATTTTCAGTACCCTTAAATAATGAGCAGCTGTTTTGTAACTTGTTAGTTAATCCTAATAAAAGTATTATGGTACAGCTGCTACTTCATTCTAATGTGATATTCCAGGGTAAGTAGTTTATTCTTACAATCTCTAAATCTCTAGTCTAATCTAGCCATCCATTTAAGTAGTTTGGTTTAAAGGAAAACATATAACATTAACGTTGCAATTTGTTACAGTTTAAAATCAAATGTCAGATACATCTCTGGAAATTAATAGGCTTTCAGCCTCTCAAATATTCATACTGTTCTAAAGAATGGTTTCTGTGGACAATAACTGTGGCCTTTGTTAGTATAAACAATATTAAACATTTACTCTTCTTAATTTAACATTTACTCTTCTTAATTTATATTATAGCTTTTGTTTTTGTCTTGTATTACTACTTAACAATGACGTTACAGAGGTAATTTCTGTGGTGCATGTAGGAAATGTGGCTTTCACACTTTCTGTAACAGAGTCTGGAAAGTAGCCAGTTCATTTGCTCGTATGGGCCATTTCACACGGCCAGATTTCTCTTGTACTTGTGAAAGCCATCTTGGGAGTCCTCCCACTCTCCGTAGCAAGGAAAGGGAGATTGGTGTCTCAACTACGATGGAAAAATGGCCATTTATGATAGGGAAAAAATGGCCTTGGCCATTTATGATAGGGAAAAAAATCAAGAGGGGTCTGGGTTTTTCAACAACAACAGCAACAACAACATCAACAATAATAATAAAGGATAAGCTGCAGCTCACAAAAGCTTGTGCCTTTTAGTGAAAGTTGTTACTTGGAAAAAGTACCACTGGCTTCTTCCTGATTTCTGAATTACATCAGAGGGACGTGCAGTATTTCTGTTCAGATGTTTAGGCAGCCATTCATGTTTTCTCCACTAGGCCATCAGAGAGAGCAAGTCCCCCTTCTGCTCCAGTCTGGAGATTTTTAAATGCATTTTTTATAGTTTTGGAGAACTTGTCTTCTCCCAAACATGGTTATAAGTTCGTCTGTGTTTGTATGTCTGATAATCTTTTGACTACGTAATAACATAATTCATTTGATTATACATATAAATCATATACAGTAATTCATTTCCGTATATTGGAAAGGACCAAACTAAGCTGTATCTGTATCCTGCCATGTCTTTCCACAGAATACTCTATTCCTGGATTTTTCTTTCATTTTTCCTCCTAACAGCTGGTATGTTGTGGCTATTAAATACACAAGCCTCAATTGACTCTGATTTGGGGAACAAAGAAGCTAATGCTTTAAAAAAAAACAACTGTATATCATACACTTCTGGAAATTTCAGGGTATCCATAAATGTATAAATACATGATGCTTTCAGATAGATGAGGGACAGAGTAAAGATTTGCTATTTAAAGAAAAATACTGATCATATTAGTCGTAAAATGTTACAATGTACCTAAAACAACTTATTGAATTGGGTTATAGGATGAAAATCTCTATATTCTTTTCAAAGAATAGTTAAATATTCAGTGACTGCTTGGCATTACTTTTCATGCTTACATTTTAAAACCAAACAATATATTTTAAGACACTGCATTGTAAAAAGTATTGTTTACCAAACAAATTCTTTTTTCGCCGTTGATCAAATTATGATGCATAATAGCGTGCAGTACAGAAAAAAAATACTTTTTTATAGAATAGTACGTAGAACACATCCAAATATTAGTGTTCTTTCCTACCACAAAAACAATTAAGAGTGAAAAAAAATGACATTAACTTCATAGCAGGATCAAATCCCTTCCTGAAATAATATATAGCCCAGAGTAAGATTGTCGTGTTTGTGTTCCTTTGTGTATTGAACAATTAACAATTCACTGATTCTGATCTGGGATCTACATTTTATTTCAAAAATGACCCCATATTTTCAGGTTGATATTGGGTCTTTATACTAAGAATTTCTGATTATAATCCAAAGTTACACAGCACAGACACATGATTAGCATCTCAGTGAGAACAGTCACTGCAGCCTTCAAGATTTTCTGCTCTATAGGTATATTGTACTAGAATAGTGGTATTTCTTTTCTGTGTTGATTAATGACATGCATTAGCATTTGCTCTCTCCTTTTACGATTTAGTTGTAATATTCAAGGACATTGATCTGTCAATACATTCATGCCTCGGCTTTTTTCCCCATTTATTGTGTGCTTACTTTTCATGCATAGGTGCCTTGACCCAAGCCATTCGCAATTTTGCAAAAAGCCTTGAAGGTTGGCTTTCCAATGCCATGAACAATATTCCCCAGAGAATGATTCAAACCAAGGTAATGATTCAAACCAAGAGTTACTCTTACTTTCAAAATCATTTGCAACAAAAAAGGTATTACAGACACAAATAATTCCACATTACCTCCTTGATTTTGTTAATAAAAAAGATACTACAAAAGAACCCTTTAAAAAAACCACATAGAATCTGCTTTAGATTTTATATTGCCAGTCTATACTGTTCTTTAAATTTTGCTGTAGAAAGTTCATCTACTCATGTCTAAATCAGCGGTCTCCAACCGTGGCAACTTTAAGACTTGTGGGCTTCAACTCCCAGAATTCCACAAATCTTAAAGTTATCACAGTTGGAGACCTCTAGTCTCAATCACTGATTCCCAGTCGGGGGTCCACGCAAAGCCTCCCCCAGAGGGTTCATGGGAAAGAAATGATGTAATATAATTTTTCCACTAAATGTAGTATGATATATGTAATACATTTGTGAACTAGCATAATATACATTAAAAATACAGTAATACCTCCGGTTAGCAGACTGCTTTGAGAAAAGGGATTTTTAAAAACCGTTCATTATACCTGAATCTATCTAATTAACATAATTTGTTCAATTTGCCATAAATTATTCAGATGGATTTGCCAAACAAGAGATTTATTCCATTATTTGAAGGAGAAATTCAAACGGAGATGTGAATATCTACAGAGATTCTCAATCATCCAGGTCATGATGGTCCCCGGGGTGCTTTTTCAGAAGGCAACTGGACTTAGTTTTTGTCTTGAAGACATTTTGCTTCTCCTCTAATTAAGCTTCTTCGGTAGTTCTTTAGAAGTGAAAAAGCTTCTTGGATGAGAAGCGAAATGGCTTAAAAAAAAAAAGTCCAATTGCTTTTTTGAAAAAGCACCTTTAGGACTTAGATGTGAGTGGAAGACAATAAAATCAAAGTTTTACTGTGGTTGCTCTTGTAATATACTGTTTTACTCTAATCATCCAAAGATATGTAAATTACTTGCTCAAGTGGTGATCTAACAGGTAAAAAGCTTTTGATGTTGCTGTAGTAGTCTTTGAGGGGAGATTTGCCTCTCTTAACAAATATTTACTGAAGAATTCTAGATGGCATAAGTGCCATATTCTTTAGATTCTTTGTATTTCACAGCAAACTGGCACAAATGTGTACCACAAAATTCTGAAGATGGTGCTTCCTTTGTATGCTTGGGTGTGGAGAATAGCCAGGGATTCAGTGCAGGGAAGATATTGACATGGATATTGTTTTTATTTAACTTGCATTATTAACATTATTGTTATCATGTGCACATATCTCCAAAAATAATATTCTCATCAGATTTCTTTATAAGACAATATTGGCATATTTGGGTATTATTTCTCGATAAACATTTGTAAAAGTTGCTAACTGGCACCAGCTTTATAAGAGAATAGGAGTATCAGGTCTTTTTCTTCATTTTTCGCAGGTTGCCGCTGTAAGTGCCTTTGCTCAGACTCTGCGAAGATACACATCTCTTAATCATCTGGCTCAGGCAGCCCGAGCTGTCTTGCAGAACACTTCTCAGATTAACCAGATGCTCAATGACCTCAACCGTGTTGATTTTGCCAATGTCCAGGTATGACATGATATGAATGCTTTGTATGTAATTCTTTAGCCTAGTCAGTAAGGCATCAGGCTAGAAAGCGAGAGACTGGGAGTTCTAGTCCCACTTTAGGCATGAAAGCCAGCTAGGTAATTTTGGGCCAGTGATTAATCTCAGCCCCCATAGGGTTGTTGTTGTTGTTGTTGTGGAGAAAATAGGGGGAAGAAGGAGATATGTTTGCTGCCTTGAGTTATTTATAAACAATAATAAAAGTGGGGTTAAGAAACCTAATGTAAATTGTAAAAAGCCCTCTTTGCATTTGAATTTCAGAGATGCCAGAGAATGTCTAGAGGAAATCTGCCACAATAATCTTTTGTTTCTGCAAAAAAAGATTCATGAAAGATTTCTGTAGCTCATTCTCCCCCTCCCCCCACACTCTGATTTTCACCTGTTGACTTATAGACAATGAAGGGTGTTTCTTAACATCCATGTTAATATATCTTTGACTTATATCTATCTATATCTGTCAAAGATTTAGGAAAAAAATGTTTAGCAGCCCATTGGAAATGATCCATTTTTTAAAAAAATACAACCCATTTACTAAAACATTCCAATGTCCAGCAGTTCCATTTCTGCTCCTGCTGTTCCACCTTTGAAACCATTTTCAATCCTTTCCAAATCAACAGAATGTTGGAAAGACATTATGTGAAGGAGCTTGGAATTGGGTTGAGGAAAGTAAACAAATTTAGATTGTGTTTAGTGTATGGAAAGAAGTGGCTGGAAAAAAACATCAACTCTAATAAAGAATAAGATCAAGAGCTAGGATCTGTTGAGAAAACGATTCCAGAAAAAAAATCCATCTTTGCATCCCTATGGAATGGATAGTTGAACTTGGAATGCTGTTCACTGCTTTGTTCTAAGCCAGGAATGGACAACTATGGCTATTTTAAGACCTGTGGACTTCAAGTCCACAGGTCATAAAGTCGCCATAGTTACCCACTTCTGTTCTAAGTCTCCCTTCTCTATTCAAGTCACATTACCTCAAGTGGAGGAGATACAACCTATCCAAAGTTTCCCAGTACACAGATGAACACAAGCATGCACAAGGGAAGAATAAGCACAAGGGAAGAGCAATAACATGCTGAGAGTTATTTTATTATCCGGAAGAAAATTCAGATGTCCTCTATCCCTTGATTTGTTCACCGAGTACTTATTCTTCCTTCTTTTTTTGTTTTACTCATTGTTTTCCTTTCTAGGCACCTTTAACTTAAATTTAAATCGGGCACTTGAAACTCCTCTGTAAAACTTTTTTTGAATTGGTACAGGAGCAGGCTTCCTGGGTGTGCCAGTGTGATGACAACATGGTACAACGGTTAGAAACAGATTTCAAGATGACTCTTCAGCAGCAGAGCACTCTGGAGCAGTGGGCTGCCTGGCTTGATAATGTAATGATGCAAGCACTGAAACCATATGAAGGAAGACCTAGTTTTCCTAAAGCAGCACGCCAGTTTCTGTTAAAGTGGTCTTTCTACAGGTCAGTGCCCTGAATAAAGAGGTTATATTTTGTCTCAGTCCAATAGGGTAGTGCAGTGCTTCGAGTTTGGGAGGCCAAATGGTGCTTTGAAAATTGAAATGCATAGAAATGGGCCCGTAGCACCTGTTTGCAACTGCTTTAAACATGTCTTTGGTCAGAATCACTTAGCTGGTATGCGGTCCCAAGAAAAGACACAGCTGCTTTCACACATCGCAGAAATACAGTGTGCTTTTGAGTATATACCAACTGGATCGTAGCTCTCATCCATGCGTGATCATAGATGAGGCTGTACATCTTCGTTAATTTACCATATGGCTAGTAAAAGTAATGTTGGGCAGGGAGGGAAAGATCTGTCAATAAGCAGGCAGTGGCTTCGATTTATGCATTCTTCCCTCCATTCCTTTCTGTTCTAATTAAGCCTTGGTGGGACTATATTTGCATTCTGTTCTTTGCTTAAAGTCACCCATTTCTATTGCCTCCAAAGTAAGAAAAAAGAAAGTAGGTGAAGACCACCCTAGAAGCCTGCTTCAGCCAGTTTCTAATCTCCTAACTTCAGGGGCTATTGCCACCGACAGAAAACATTTAAGCATATTTTGAGTTTACAAATATGATTTGTTATGTTTTCATTTTTTAGTTGATGTTGCTTATAAGCCATATTCCTATTCTAAAGGGAATTTTTATTCTAAAGGGAGAGAAACAGATGCAATCCATCAACCAATAATAAGAATGCTAGTTAAGTCCAGCTGTATATGATGAGCCATTTATATAATAATTATTAAAGTGCCGTCTAAATGTAATGCCTAAATAAGAGGTAAACAATCAAGAGGTCATACTGGGCCCTTCACATAGGACAAGGGTGGGCAACTAGGTCAACTATGTTGGCTCAAGAATTCTGGGAGTTAAAGTTCACAGGTAGCAAAGTTGCCATAGTCGCCTTCCCCTGACCTAGATTCATTTAGACCTTAGTCACATTTAAAAGCCATTTAGGGAAATTATTTGATATATCTGGTAAGAGTTATCTGAATCTTGAGACAAAGAAAAGAGGGAGTTGGAAAACAAGAGGACAACCCTGCGTACAATTTGCTTTAGCTTGGTCAGTCTTCAGCATGTAGTATAACACCCCTTTCTTTCCTGACAAGAAAGCTAACTTTACTTTAAAAAAAAGTGTTTTCCTGTCCTGGCTTAAATAATGTAATTGTTAGAATTATGTTGGATGTGTCGGAAATTTCTGGCATATTTATTGGATGATAATGTGTTTCATTTGTATTTTCATCTTAATATAGCTCAATGGTGATTCGAGATTTAACTCTGCGCAGTGCTGCTAGCTTTGGTTCTTTTCATCTGATCCGTCTGTTATATGATGAATATATGTTTTACTTAGTTGAACATCGGGTTGCTCAAGCCACAGGAGAGACACCTATTGCAGTCATGGGAGAGGTCAGTCTACAGTTGGAATCCTTTACCAGATAATTTAGCATCAAAAAGGAGTAATTATCTCATTAAGTTATACTTAATTAAGTAAATGTGTTTTCTAGGAGGTAAGTGTGGATCAGTTTTAATTAAATTCCTTTCATCTGAGATTTAGATATAATGGATGTCATCAAATTTCAGTTAAGCCGAATCTGTACAAAACTGAAACAGAAATTCATTTTCTTTTGTTTGTACGTTCTGATTATATTTATTCACACTAAATACTGGATCGAGTATTTTGCTGTTACCTTTCAGATCCTGTGTAAATTTCTGAAATCTTCTTATGCTCATTTCTGAAATCTGAAATCTTTTTAAATTATAACCTTCTTGCATAGCCAAATATTCAAACTTTTCCCCTTGTTTTTTTTAACCAGCAGTTTGAGAGTGAGAGTAAAAAAAATAATTAAAACTATTTTCTTGTATCTATAGAAATAAACAACAAAAAGTAATATTTTCATTCCTAGTAAAAAAAAAATTCTGTCACCCAAGACTCATTTTTAAATTGAAGATGATTATTATTAGATTTTTTATTTTTGTTACAATCACAAACTTGTTTCAAGAGAACTTGAGAAAAGGTGAAGGTTCCTTTTTGAATCACAAAGTAATAATATATCTTATATATGAAGCATCAACATATTTGACTATGTTTAATATTCCACAGACATTAAGAATGTGCAAATATCCTTTCTTTATATGCTTTATTACTCTTGCTTCCTGGGTCAAAATGAAGAGTGTGCATTATGAAAATATATTCAGAAGTAGACAACAAGTATTATTTGCTTTTATTCACAAAGTATTAGGCAATACATGTAGCTTCTTTTAGTATTTTGTTCACTATTTAACTTGTCATTCCAAAATAAGGTATGTATTTAACTTCAGAATAGAAAGCTTTGTGGTATGGGTTGCAATATACTTAGTTTGCTTTGGTTGTTGTCATAGTCAATCAGATCTAGATTGCTTCTGTAAATCAGTGGTTTACAACCTACTCTAAGCTACTCTAAGGTCTGTGGACCCCTGGGGAGCCATGATGTTGTCATGTGGAGTCTGCAAAGACTCAAAAAATGTTAGCAGTTAGGTGGTCCATTGCCATGGTCCGTGGCCACAAAAGGTATTTAAAGAAGGGGTCTGGTGAAGAAAAGGTTGAGAACCATTGCTCTAAATCACTTTTAATTTGTAGGATTTACTTCCAGAAATCCCTGAACCATCCTGGAACAGAATGGGACAACTCGCCATGGCCAACTCACCATGGCCAACTCATCATGGGACAACTCACAGGGCAATTTAACTGTTCAATTATTTAAAATAAAGATATTTTATTTTTTGTCATTCACATTTCATTTTGTCCCTATTTTTACATCCTTTCTTTAATGATTCTACTCCACCATTTCTTTGATATTAGTGTAACTCTTGTTCCAAGCGAGTTATGACTTGTTATGAGCAGTGAGTTGGCTGTGGCAAGTTGTCCCATGATGAGTTGGCTGCGGCAAGTTGACTATGGTTAGTTGGTCATGGTGAGGTGGCCATGGCAAGTTGGCTGCAGCGAATTATCATAGACACCCTCACCCTCCGGAAAGGTGTTGCAATTGTTCCATTTGTGAATAAAAATAATCATATTCTTTCTTGGGAAGCATGGTTATAATTAGATTTCACAGAGGATTTAACTGATATGGAAAACGCTAGTATAATGTATTGTATTAAAAGTTGCTATTTTTATTTTCTTTCACAGTTTGGTGATTTAAATGCTGCATCTCCTGGAAACATGGACAAAGGTTAGCATATACATACTACAGAACTTCAACTTGATTAGGACATTATAAATGTATTTGTTTACTTTATTTGTATGCCACTCCTTTTCTTAATTTATTCACTCTTTTACATTTCTATTTAATCTGAAAGCTTACTTTGAAGGTTGAAAGATCTTTTTAAAAGATCTGGTGAACTACAGTGATCACTATGGTTTAATCATGTAAACTGCATTAAGTAAACTGCAATTGACAAGGGTCTCATATAACATACAGTACTAATCCACAGTCTAGTCACATTATGATTTGTACGATGAGTGAATCCAACCAGGGGGATTCTTAGGAAGAGCATCTCATACAATGGATCTTTCACTCAATGAAACATAGTATTCATTTAATTTATTGACAGCATGAGCAAATTTCAACTGAATTTGGTATAATAGTGGTAGTTATCACTTAGCAACACTAATTGGGACTGGAAAACTCCATTGTTAGCAGTGTCGTTTGAAGTGGGGAAAAAAGTGATTGTACTGCCTATGGAGATTCTCAGTCATCCAGGTCATAGTTGTCCCAAAGGTGCTTTTTCAAAAGGCAAAGTGGATTTTATATTTCTTTGAAGACGTTTCACTTCTCATTTAAGATGCTTCTTCAGTTCTGAAGAACTGAACTGAATAAGCTTCAAGGAAAAACAAATCCAGCTGCCTTTTGAAAAAACATCTTTGGGACATGTGTTCATATTATTTAATGATGGTGGTCCTGTTTGCTGTCGTTGAGCAAGGACTTTACATGACCATGACTTCTGACTCCCAGCGAGCTTTCCCATTAACTTTGCTTGTGGGGAGCCAGCACAGAAGGTTGAAAATCACAATCTTGTGACAGTGGGGATGCTGTATTGGCCATAAATACAAGATCCAGTTGTAATTTACCACTCATTCAGTGCCGTTGTATGTTGAGACATTTACTGAATGATCATTAAATGAGGACTACCTATACAATATTGCCCTTGTGCACTGGCTCAAGTCCTAGGGATCCCTTATGGAAGTAAGATAACAGTCTCCACTGAAGTAGTTACAAAACGTGGTAAAGAATTTGGGCTCATAAGGATTCATTTCCACACAAGAAGTGATTTCTGGTTATAGAAGGGGGACGGCTTCCTTTACTTGCAGCCCCCATTAGTAGAAATCAAGATGGGAGCTTAAGATGCTGCCGGGGAATAAGCATTCATCCACAAGTACAAGGGCTGGCTAATTAATAAGGAGAAAGTTCGAGTGCACGTACCTAATTTACCTAGGATTGGATTTGGACCCAGAGACTGTCCAATTCCAGTAACTTAACACTTTGCTAGAGTTGTTAAGCCTTTCTATCTCATTGTAACATGGCTCTTTCAGATTGCAGGATTCATGGTGATTTTATTTGTGCAGATGAAGGCAGTGAAGTTGAAAGTGAAATAGATGAAGAGCTGGATGACTCTGGAGAGCCGCAAGCCAAGCGAGAGAAGACTGAAATTAGCCAGGCCTTTCAGGTGGGCTGCCTGCAGCCGGTACTCGAGACTGGAGTACAGCAGAACCTTTTGAACCCTCTTCACAATGAGCACATTGTCACAGCTACTCAAACGATCAGACAGTGTAGTGCGACTGGAAATACATATACTGCGGTCTAACAAATATTTAAAAGTTCTTTTTTCAGATTGTATTAGCCCTCTTGATGTTGGGCATATCATAGGGGACGGAAGGGATGCAAAAAAAAAAAAAAGATTTCTGAAAGTCGACTATTGTCAAATTTTATCTGTACTTTTGCTGGAGTTGTGAAAATGGAATGGGTTTATGTATTTGGTCAGATTTTTTTGTGGGGGGGGAAGGTAAATACAATCATTTTACACTGGCCGCTTAATATAAAAAAATTTCTTAGTTTCAAAAGTCAAGAAGCATTTTTGCGAAGATTAATGTTAATGTTTTTGTCCTCTTTATAATTAAAAGTAATTTAATTTTTTCATAGTTTTTACAAAATATTTTAATGTTAACTGTTAGTCATGGTGATTTCGTATAAATAGGGTTTTTAATTAATTGCACTCTGAAATATCAAGACTTTTCCTTTTTGATTTACACTGGAGGCACGCTCGTTTGATAGCAGCTGCGTTAGAATTATTATTAAAAGGCAGCTTTCATTGGAGAGAACTGGAAAATAACTATTTTGATACATTTCAGAGTGCTCAACAGATATATTGGAAGATTTATTATAATTCTAGAGAACATAGATTGTCTTCTTTCTCAGAGGAAGAGTGATTCTCACTGTTTGCAGGATAAAATGAGAGCTCTGATAGCACATGGTAATGTGTACTTAATAAAGGTACAGATGACACCATTATGGACAATTCAAGCTTCCTTAAATCAGTTTCAAATTTTGGGATACTAGCTCCTCTCTCATAAGACTACTGATTTCAGGTACATTCTGCCCAAAAACTGACTCTGTGCAACCTCCATTCATTTTAATTAGAGTGTTACAAGATTCGAATTAAGGCATCTTTGATTTCCAGTGAGAATGCGATCATCTTTGAATGAGAGGAGGTCATGTTACAGAAGCATTTGCTGGGTTCTGCACCTCATATACATATGGGACCACTACCCAGATGCTTTCTGCTCTTCAGTGGGGATGTGGCTACTGAAGTTTTTTTTAAAAAAGCATCTTGATTCCTTCTTTAAGTGTATGTGCTACTTATGCTGAACTGGACATGCAGGAAACCATTCCTTTCAGATGACTTTTTAATTCTGTGTCCTTTTCCTCATGATAGTTCAACCTGCTGCTCTTGTTAAAGATAGTTTATAGGATGCAAGGAATGTAGCAACCTGCATTGTAATTTTGCTCAGAATAATTCCTGGTTCTTAAGTGGATTTCATTTTATATAAAATGTTTTAAAGGCAGTGAAACTGGCACATGTCACTTGTACTTATTTCCCAATTGCGTAGAATTTGAATAGGTGGCTAGATGGACCATTGCCATTTAAGAATGTACATCAGGGATCATTGTACCTCGGCTATTACATGGTGCCTTAAACAGAACCGAAGCTAAGATTTTCTTGTTAATAACTCTTACATTGATTCAACAAAGTGTGCCTGTCTTCTTTCTTTCTTCTTTCTTCCCCTTTTTCCTTCAGATTCCCTAAACAGTAAGGGCAGGTTACATACTTCAGATATCAAGATTTTTTTAAAAAAAGAAAATTAGATATACTATCCCTCTTAGAGTGACAGCCTTTTTCTTTCTTATTTATAGCTGAACTTCACTTTATTACTAATCAAATTTTCTGGGGTGGGGTGGGATTGGGGGAAAATGGTGGAAAACAAACTAGCTTTAACAGTGTCAAAGGTCAACAGAATAGATTAGCTAATTCCCAGACAAGAATTTATATACTTATATATAAATATATATGCATATATATATATTTCTAAACCCTTATCTACTTTTAATTTCAAAAAGTAACGTAAGCAACGTTTTTAAAAAAGCAGCGTATAGTTTCAATAGTGCATTTGGTGAAGGGGGTCAGTCTGCTATTTTATTTAATGGTTCATTCATAGTATATGTTGTTTCCCTTTTATTCTCATTAAGCTGTTCTAGTTAGAATGCATTTATTGGTTTAAAAGACATGTGAATTTCCTTAGTTTGACCAAAACAAACCAAAAATGAAGGAAAGCACAAAGAAGATTTACAGGTTTTATAGCAAGACCTATACAAAATATTAGCGTCTTGTTTATTGTTTGTTTGAAAGACAATTTTCAAGATTATCACCAAATGCTTGAACAGCAGATGGACTTTTGGGTATATTTTTTAGTATACAGGTTGCATCTTTGATTTTACATATATCAAGAAGACCTAAAGATTTGCTAATTTTTTATTTGACTACTTCTACTTCAAAACTAAGCTTTAAGAATTGCTTAGAATTGCAAAATTGGGCCGAACTAGGTATTGTGCCTAGTAATTCCTGCCATTTGGTTAAACATGCTGATATATTTCATGATAATTTTGTTCTTTCTGCTATTGGAATATGTTCTTATTTTTCCCCATCAAATCCATCATACCTACACCCCTCACCAATTTTTTAAAAACTAAGCTGTGATAGTTCCTCCCTCTCATTGTGCATTATGAAATGTTTACACTTAAATACAGTAAAATTAAATGTAGAAACAAAGAAACACTTTTCAGCATCTTTTTTTCTGAGAGTCTATTAAAATTCTATGTTAAATATGATCTACTTACTGGTACTATCCTTCCTGGATGATGAACTTGTGTTTTTGTATCACTGTCTTCTTTTGTCCTGAATACTGGATTTTGTTCATGCAGAAAAATGAAAATGATGCAAATTTACTTTTCTGAGAGAGACAGGGCTGTAAATTTTTATGATTCATTTTCCAGACCACTCCCCATCCAGTTGATCACTGTATTCAATGTGCCAAAAAGATTGATATTTATTGTATAACATCATATCCTGGAATTCTGGTCTGCTGTGGACCATACAAATAATGAAACTTCACAACCTGTCAGTGTCTAGAATATATTCCAAAATGCTCCAGTAAGTCAGCAACACAGATAACAAGACATTGGAAGAGCTGCTGTTAATCATGAATCAAAATAAGCATTGTTCATGTGCATCTTTGTCCCCGAATAATTTTTTAAATATTTTTTGTCTAGTAGGAATTATAAATCAAATGGCCAACTGACTTGCATTATCTTCAGAAGCTTTTCAGTATAAACTGGCTCACTTTAGATAGCATTCTGACACTGTACTACTTGTGCCTATATGTTACATACATTTTTCAGAATGAAATGTATGAGGGCTGGGATTCAGATAAAATGCCCTAGTGTTCTGTGCAAATACCAGGGCTTCCCCAAAGTTCCTCTTCTTGTTGCAGGTTTTTTGAACTTGATATGCCATGCCATACATTTTTCACTGAAGGTTCCATAAATGGTTTCACATTATGCCATGAATCCAGTATGATCTTAATAATCAAGGAGTATGTACTCATCAAAAAAAAAAAAAAGAGGAATAGCTTAATTGAAGCACTTTTGGGGAAGATTGCAAGAAAATGAACTGATAACATTTCAGAACAATTTGTCTTAAAAAGTTGTTTTAAATACTATTTTTTTAAAATTAATGAAGACTTTTTGGCTCTTGAACAAGTAATGCAGTGATCAATACTGATGATTCTACTGAAAATTTGTATTCAGAAACAGGGCCCAGTTTTCATAATCTCTTCAGGAATGCAAAATCTTTGGTGCTGTCACCTTAATCTGTTTTTGTCCTGTCCTGCATTTTTTTCTTTGTGCTTATTTTTGTATTATAACATGTAATTATAACACTACTTTAGAAATCATTTATCCATTAAAAAAATCCTACAGTACTGCTGTGCAATGTTACCACATTTGGTTCACAATGGATGATAGTAATTGAAACAGTACTGAGGATGTGTAGGACCCTACATATCATTTCTTTAATTTAAAAACGAGGTATTCACAAACATTAGAACCACATTTTTTTCAGATTATTTCTCAGCAAAATATGAAATCATTTCATAGATTTGACAGGCCAAATAACACTAAGTAACATTTTGAGAACACTTAATGCTGATTTGTGAAAGCAGTACCAGTTTCTGAAAACTGGGCCCTCATTCCTGTATTACAGGTCAGTCTCTATGTATATGGTTTAAAGGAAAAGGAATTCTAGTATTGTTGCTAGGTTATTTGTTTAGTGACTGAAAAAAAAAAAAACTGGAACAGAAGCATAAATTCAGTGCTTAGTTCTAGTATTAGAACATTCTTTTGATGGTAATGCCTTGAATTAACCCTTTGAGCATTGTAAGTAAATATAATTGATGTGAATCTATAAGAGTCTTGAGATCATATGAACGCACAATGCCCACTCCCCAGAACATATATGATTTTCAAAGAAACCCAAGGATTTGTGCTTCATCCAGAGACCACTGACTACCTCCCCTTCCATAAAACAACAGAATGTTTTCCCTATATAATCTGAATGTAAATGTGAACCATCCTAGGCATTATCTATTAAGGATTCCTATGTTCTGATTTTCTTGCATACGCTCAGCATTAAACACTTTGAGGTAGGCATCTCAGTTTAATTTATTCACTGCCATTTTACCAGGAGTAGGGAACGTATGATTGTTCACAGGTAGCTGAACCACAATATCTGATGACCCTCACCATTGGCCTGCATAACCAATGCATGGGAGCTGTTGTGCAGCAACATCTGGAAGCCCAAAGAATCCCTTTTCTCTAATATGTACCGCCTATAGAAGCAAGTATTTCTACCGTTATAGGTTTTTTGATCCAAGATGTTGGCTTTGAAAACATTTCACAATTACATGTTTATTAAAAATATATATTTGTAGGTAGTTGAGAAATCATCAGTTAGCATCAAAAGATGCAAATAACAACCTGTATGTCAAAGACTTGAACTTTGGAGTTAAACCATTGTTACCCACTACCATCCATTGGATGTTGCCAAGGACTGCAGTCGAAAGGACGTGTATGTATCCATAGTCGCAAAATTAACTGGACTTGGAAGTGTATTGAATACTCTATTGCAAAACACTCTGCAACTAAAGACAAGCTTTATCTTGCCTTTCAAATAACAGGAGAACCTTTCATGAGGTTCTCATGCCATTTGTGTGTACGCAGACAGGCTTAGCACTATGCATGCAATGATGTTGAATTGTACTTTTATTTTAGCACGTTATCCCACTTCCAAGTTTATTATTGAATATAGACAAGGGTATTTTTATGGAATTCCAGATATAGGACAATG